AGGAAATGTTGCTGCTTAGATACCAAAAATCTCTCTGACATAATAAAAATCAACGTTAGGGTATCACTTGGCCAGCCAAATTCTCTCTCAGGCCAAACATCTAGTACTGCACTGTTTTTAAGATTTGCTATGATGTCGCAGTTCACATTCACCAATTAAGCAGGAAATGCTAACTCAGCTTTGACTTCTCCGGCAATCCTCTTCCACTTATCCTGGGAAAGTGAGAGCTGCTTCAAATCTTGAACATTTTGACTAAAGCTTACAGACAAAAATCATTCACTTCTCTGCTGATAAATTATGCCTGTGTTTTCTAAAGGACCCAAAAGGAATTCCTTACAAACGGTTCCATCTCTATCGTCCCAGACACTAACCTACCGGCATGTGCATGTAGAAAACAGCCAGATGCCACAGCATCAATTCTAAACTAATTATTCATATTTCTTTTTCTTAAGTTGATTTTAAAAGATTATAACTCACTTGGCAGTCAACAAATATACAGCTTGGAAAAAATACAGAATAATATATATATTTCAAACACATGCATGATAAGAGGAAATGGAGTTTAAAAAGCATCTCAAGTAGTTACCCTGTTGTTTTTCAAATCAAAATGCACCAGCAGAAAAGTGAGAGGAAGAAGGTGTCTGGAGGAGAAGGAAAATAAATGGTGGGATTAGAGTCCTCAGCATGAACACATTATTATTATTTATTATTCGCCAGCCCCCATACTGTGAAATGAACCTCGGATGACAGGTGCTTTTTCTCCATTGATTAATAAGGTGCAAACCATACGCTCTGCATTCAGATTTACTCTGTGCAATCACCATATTCTGTCAAAGGAAGAAGGATTTTCTTTGCTAGCATAAGAAATCTGGGCCAAGTGCAGTAATCCTCATTCAGGCACGGCGCTCTGCATTTCAGGGGGAGCTCTGCCGGAGCAGTGCTTAGCGAAGAGCAGGATTCAGCTGTTTTTAAGAGCATGCTGAGACAATTGACAACTAAACATTGGCAGGGGGTATTCTGAATTACAGGAGGGAACTGCATTACAGGGATGGCATGGGACTTTCCTTAAAGACGGGCAGGTCTGAGGGTACCTGAGCAAGTGGGGAGCATCACCCTTCCCATCTTGCTGGTGAGGCTCTGGGGGCACAGGTGATACAGGTCAGTGATGCAGGAAGAAAGGGCAGGTCAAGAACCATCTTTTGTGTCCACAGTGCTTGTCTAAAGGAGATGCTGTTTTCACAAAGTCACAGCAAAAAGAGAGACATGAACTTGGATGGAGACTTGGAGAAAGCTCACCTGGAGAAAACCTCATTGCCAGCAAACCCTCTGAGAAGGAGGGCTTTTGGGAATCATTATTGCTCCTTCCCTAGAGTATGAGCCCCAGAGAAATGTCCGAGGAGCCTGGTGGCATTTCCTGCTCACTCTTAGGAGGCTTTAGAAAGCAGATGGCAACGGGCAATCTCCGATTTCACCAGGCACGTTCATCAGGAGCTACACCAAGCCCAGAGGCCAGCACCATCACTGCTGCCTACAAGATTCCACTGAGATGGTTTTATGCTAGCACATGGGCTGGACAACTGTATAAAACTTCCACTGAAGTCTTGTGACAATGCCATCCAACAGGAACTCCATCATATTTATTTATTTAAAGTTTTCATAAACCTTCCCAGAAATTATACTGGTAGGAAGGAACCACATGATCTTAGACAGTGAAGTTAGTAGACAGATTCTTTTCATGCTTCTGGCAGCTCTACATGATTCAGGAACGCAAAACCAAAGCCAGAGCAAGGAAAACAGCCATGAAGGTCTTACATACTTTAAGGGCATACCCTTCCAGATGGACAGGGGCTACTCTCCAAGGCAGCTACTCTGAGCCAGTTTTTTGACTTGGAAGAGGCATTTAAGAGATTAATCCTGGCTGGCATGCCTGTATGGCACTGACGCTGCGCTGGCTGTGTGGCTCTGCCCCACACTTTGGGGGCTGGATCTGCCAGAGCCTGGTGCTGTACGGGAGCACCCCAGCTACGCATCCTGCCCAAAGGTCTTACGTTGTGCTAACGCTTTTGGAGAGGGGCTGCCTCACCAACAGCGAGTTAAGGAAACACACCGAGGGAGCTTCTGCCTTTTGATACAGGACTCTGCACACTCACCTCAGTCATCTTTTTCCTCTCACCATGGACCACTAGTAGTAGCCCTGAAACTCCCCATGAGATTTTTCTCCTTTCCATGTGATTGGAAACAAAACTATTTAAGCATTGTTTCCTCTCCAAAAATTTGGAAACAGTTGTTGTCAAAAATAAAGCGACTCTCAAACTCTACATTCCGTGCTAAGAAATTCAATCCCATTTTCCTTCCTTGTTTGGACCAAGGCAATTGATTAGCTTAAGCCTTTGTCAGCTCTAACTAAACAAACCATTTTCCTGCTTTATAAGCAAGTGTCAGATTCTGAGTTGAAGTTGCACAAGCAATTTTTGGAAGAAGTGGCCTTTGCAGGCTGGGAACTTGGAGCCTGGTGGAAACATATGAACAGTTCAAGACTTCAAACAGAGTGCTTGTAGTGTGATTTAAGATATTGGCCCAGCATGTCAAGGCTACTGCCCTATTCATCAACTCTTTGCTTTGAAGATTTCTAGCATTTAGTAAACAGTTGTACAATTTAGGGTTGTGAAAACAGCACATATGTTCCCTGGATTTCACATGGCCTTGTACACATAGCAGCTATGCGACATTGGAAAATAACATTTGACAAGAGATGACAGAAGTTTTTAAGAGTCATGAGTATTCCATAAAAAGCGTTTTTCAATCCTAACAGCTTCACAATCAAAATTTACGTTCATGTGAAAAACAGACGGCTGATTGTAACTTGTCCTGACCGGCCTGACTCATTTAGCATGTAATCATTTGCATTTATAGGGAAGCTGGTTATACAAAATAAGGTTTATTTCAATATCTCATTTTTCTTTCCCAATAGCTATTCGCCTACTGAGAACCTGCTGATGTGTTCTACCAGACTAAAAGCATATATATCAAGTCTGACTAGTCACCACTGGTGTATCTCCTTTCTGCACTGTGCTAAGTCTCTACAGCAGACTACTCTGACAGCAATTTATTTATGCATTTTATGGATTTCCTCTGCCAATCATCACCTTTGGAAATCTCCTCTAAGACCGTGTTTGCATGTCCAAAGCTGTGCTGCTGTCAGCATCCCTGGCTCCTTGACGCACAGGATTAAATCCTGGCAGGAGCACACGGGTCCACAGGGCTGCTCTGTGCACCGGCCTCTTTTCCCAGGAGCAATGGGATTGATCGTTAAAGACCCTACATCCCTTGACAGTGATGGCCTTGCAACAGCTCTATGAAGGACAAAGACTAGCAGATCTGTCCCTGTCCCACCCCTTTTACTCAAATTCCCCATGGAAAATAGGAATACCTCAGGCATTTGGGTTCTCAAATCCCAGCCCTGCCTCCACGGCCTGAACCACAACATTTCTGCTACAGAAGATGACACAGCCAAGAGCAAGATTTGTCTTCCCTGGGATTCTTAAACTCAGAGGTGTCACTTCTCGCTGCAACAGCAATACGAAACCCAAATCCCGAGTGCCTGCCCCTTGCCCTGCGCGCAGCAGTACGGCACGCTGGGGGGCTATTTTCTTTGGTAAGATGAGCATATTTTGACCACCAGTTTAATCACAAGAGAGACTGCATTTTACCACTAGAAGGGGTTGACTGGTCCTCGAGACAGTGTGGTCCTTCAGTGGACCTACAGGCCCCCCTTCTGTGGGCCTACAGAGCTGTTAGATTGTTTTTAATGCTGTGGAAGTCTTTCTAACACTGAAAAAACTGTCAGGTCCAGCAGATCAAGGCCTGTCACATGTTCCTCTAAGAAGATGAATACATGGATGACCTCTACAGCAACAAGAAATGCAATCTATTCCAAATAGCAGCAGTAGTGAGGTGTGAACGTTGCTTCTCTTCTCCCAGCAGAGGACAAAGAGGGAGAGGAGAGAGGCAGCTCTGCATGCCACTGCTTTCTTCATCAAAACCACACAGAAACCCTAAACGGCATCCCTGAAATACATCCTAAGCTGTATTCTTAGCTAACCACAGCTAATACGACTCCTCATAAAGAAACCATCTCTATTTAAGCTAGCCTCTATCACAACATTTATTTTATCCTGCAGAGTTTTTGATTTTACAGTATTCTCGAGACTATCAGGATTTTACATTTAGAGAACCTGCGTACTGGGATTTTGTCATTTGGGCCTGTTGATTGGATCCTACGGAAATATCCACATTTGAGCTCCACTTGCCTAGGGCCAAATACACTAATTCCACTTCCAAACGTGCGTGTCTTGCTTGGCAGCTCAGCCTCTGCGCTAGATTATCTCTACCTACAATTTAATTAAAAAATAATCACCCTTCGCTTCACTCATCTGGGACTGACTGCTGTGAAACACACATGCGTACACGATCCACTACTTACGTGATACACTTTGCTGGACAGAATGAGCACGGAAAAGGCTCGGAGGAGTTTTCCTGCCGAGCCTTTTTAACAAATGATCACGTTCGTTCACGCTGAGGGAGAGAAAAAAAAAAATACCAGTGAGTAACCAGATAATTTCAAGGTAAAAGGCAACTGTATTTACAGTACTTAGAAGCTTTGACTTTGTCAGTATTTAAGATGGTTGTAGCATGAAAAAGAATTTTCTCTTTAAACTGCCCATTATCAAGAGAACTCTCTAATAATGGAAACTCCTCCTTTCTAAGGCCACTTTGTATAAGTTTACATTTAATTAATCCATCCCTAATAGAACCATCATTGTGATTTCTCAATGCCCGATACCTACAAATTATTACAAACCATATCAGAAGTCTGACATCAAATGATACGGAACATTAAAAAGGAGATTTCTCTTTAGTATTATGTACATGAATCATGGCACCCCCAAAATGCCTTAGAGAGAAGAAGCAGAGCATTGTGGCTTAGCACATGGTAAAAGGCTTCTATCACACCTGCAAAATGGCCTGAAGCAACCAAAGGTGGGACCCAGAATTAATTCTGTCTTCTAAAGAACACTCATTTTCACCTCCCATACTGGAAAGAAAATTTTCTAATCAGTTTTTGATTAAAATCCCCTTTGGTTTGCACAGTTCCTGTCAAAGGCCTGAAAAATTATTACTGAATTTACAGAAAGTGAAAATACAAACTTAAGGTGAAAAATACAGTATGCTTACAATAGGTTTAACAGATGTACACAAATCATTAGAGACACTCTCCACCTCTGATTTTTATTAAAAACACAACTTCTTTAATCAAGAACTTTATGCCCAGAATAAACAAATGATGGCTAAGATCCTGACCTTTCAAAGCACTTAATTACATATACAAGTCTCACTAAGTTCAATGGGGTTTTAAAATAATGTAGGTGTCCAAATCTCATTGCACTGGAGCCTCAAGTAACTTTTCTGTATCAGATGATTTTGAAAAAAAGATATTACAGTCTATTTTAGTTCAAAGTTCCTGTGCGACTGGGTTGGTTTTTTCCCATCTCACCCTTGTTCCTAACAGGGAGATGGAGCCAGTGCACAGGAGGGACCTGTCTCTAGTGCAGCTCCCTGCGGTGCCTTTATCCCATTTGCACCACATTTACCCTGTGTTTCCATTTTCACAGTCTGCTTGTTCGCTCACGTCTTTACTCACACGCCGTAATTCCACCGGTTATGCTGCAAACACGGATACACATCTGAATGCCAACATCGATCTCTTTCTTGGGGTAGATTACAAATTCACATACATTCAGTATAAGAAATGGAAAGCACAGCTGCTGCTGTCAACAAGCTTACACCAGCTTTAAACAAACAACTCCCTTTCATTGAAGCAGTTTGCTAACTTCAAACAAGAAAGTAACCAAAGAATCTCTGAGATGCCTATAACATGTAATCCAGCCAGGCAGGCTTATATTCCACTTAATAGTCCATTAGGGTAGTACCCAGGCTCACAGCCTCTGTTCAGTGCATAATGAAATGTCCACGAAAGAAAGGGAGGAATCCATCTCTCTCTTCCTGTGGTCTCTAAGCTCAGACACCTGAACTAGAAACTTGCGCAGCCTATGGACCCCTCCTTAAGATCTTTACAAACTGTCAGCATTTTCAGACACTTGGTCTCTTCCCCTCCTTCCCTTGGCCCCACAGACTCACACTTGCAACAGGTGTGATATGACAGGTTGCTTTCCCTGCCTGCAGTCAGTAGTATTCCCTCAATATAAAATAGAAGTTGGTAACAGATTGGGAAGCAAAACTATAGACACCAAGTGAGTGCGTCAAATAATCTTTAAGAGCTCTTGAATCATGAGATACACATGTGTTCAAAGAAGAAAGGATCACCACAGGTTTCCACTAAAACCAGGGTTACAGCACGGAAACGTCTAAAAATCTTGGAAGATCCAACTGGTTAAAAAAAACCAAAGGCCACCTGGCTGTAAGAAAACTAAGTACATACACAAAGAAATCGCCAACTGCTCAAAGCAAGACATGAGATTTCTCTAACCTTTAACAGGCCTATGAAGCTGACAGCCTCCAGAATCAATCAGCAATAGCGCAAGCTAGCGATGCTGTGCTCCGCAACCTCCTGCTGTATGCGGAGGACTGCTGGGTAACTTGTAAGGCCATTGACTGCTAAGTGTAGCGGAACACTGAATCTACTGCTGTCCTGCGAACGACAGAAGTGGAATACTTGTTCATCTTCTGCAGGCAAAGGACATCATATAGGCAGGGTCTTTCCCATCACAGCAGGAGAACCAGAGGGTGGTTTTGGATAGGTGGCTTAAAAAAGTAATCTTAAACCGATCAAAAATATTTGTTCTAAGGGACAAATAAGCAACATCTGACACAAAATTCTTACACTGAGAATGGAACTAACCACTGCAGCAAAAGGCACAGGGAACAAATTCTTGATCTGGCTGTCTACCACACAGCAACAGACAAAGTGCAGGACGGTATCTGCTACAGCCCAGAAATGGTTAGCTCCTCAGGCTTCTACATGCAACGTGTGGAGGAAAGTGTGCTGTCGAGGGACTTCTGAACATGACTGACACACTGCAGCTCTAAGGAAGCCAAAGCCAGACTACCTTTGATACTGGTAATTATAATCAACAATTTCAAAACTGAAGTCACATATGATTTTCCCATTTGGGAAATAATATTCGATCCTGGCTATGCAGAGAAAGAAAATCTCACGGAAAAATTAGAGCATTTGTGGGTTAAGTACAAGGGATGATTAAATAGACTGTAAGTCAAGACCAGTCAAGTACTATAAAATGAGCTCTTGATGCATAGAAGTAAATGCAACGCAGCTCTTCTGAAACAGATGAGTATTTGATTTATTAACAGATATTAGATCTCCCAATACAAGCCCTGAAAGGAAAGAAAAGAGAAGTTAAGTGCGTTTCTTAACTAAAGTGTTTGCACTGATACCCTGTCCCTGCTTTCAGAAAAGGTTTTGGTCTGCTACCAACAGATTAAAAAAAAATGAAGACTTTGCAGTCTCCTTCGCACTTTGATGCAAAACTAATGATGAAGTCAGACTCACAGGCACCAGGTTAGGCCTCGCTCACAGAAATATTGCTTGTAAATCAATCCCGAGCGTTAGTCATGATTTTAAGTGTCAATTCTGCTTTCCTGTGACTCAGAGCCAGTGCCTAAAACCTCCCACAGGGTCTAAGGATGGCATCTTAAGATGCATTGAGGAAAAAGGATAAGAGGTCATGAGATCATACTCTGAATATTGGATATAGCTGTGTTCATACTCAGGACCTCAGAAATGGTGTCAGAAAGGAAGCAATCACAAATCCAGACATCCTTATGGGAGTCAGTGACCTGGAAAATGACAGTGAAATATGCCTAAGTTGGTCAGTGAGTGACCCCAGAAGGGGTAAGGGAGAGACACTATCTCTCTGTAATTATATGAAGGACAAAGGACATAGACAAAATGCTTTGAACTAAACAAAACAAATAGCAGCTTAGAACAAAAACTATAAAAAAACCTCCCAATTTGGAAAGTTACTATGAAAAATGGATTAAAAAAGTCATTACTCAAGTCAGCTGAAACCAGGTTCAGTTTCTAGCAATAATAAAGAATACCTTGTGCCAGGAATACCTCTGCAATGGCTTGCTAAGAGGTTCAAGATGATTTCTGTCTGCTTGGAAGTCTACGCTAACAACATTACATGAATTCATTAAGGGAATGACAAATCAAAAGCTAAACTAAAGGCAACATGTTATCTCATAACAGTATTTTCCATTCCATGAATAAAATGACTCTTCTATTTTCTTATCTGAATTGCTCGAAGGTGTCAACAGAGACCTTCATTTTCTTTTTCTGTGTTCCCTTCTTCTCATCCCTCGCAAACGCAAACAGCCCTTAAATCTAGGCAACAAACATCTGGCTTTACACATTCAAATGAGGTGCATCAAAACAAACAGAATAATTCAAAGCTGACCACAAGGTCCCACTGGCTCATTTGCTCAAGTAATTAAAAAAAGATGAGCTTCACCACCAATTAACCTACTGAGCACTAATTAGCATTAATGAGGATTTGCGGTACTTGGTACAGCTTGACCCAGAATGTCCTCCCGAGTCCACTAATTGGCTGGTGGTAAAAGCAGGGCTCACAAAGGAGGGGAGGTTAAAGTGGATGCAGGTGTCTCTTAAAATTGGATCTTCCCTGAGAAAACACAGTCATAGCCCACTTAAAAAAAATAATTCCGGACCCCCCTTCTCTTACAAGAACTGAACTCTTAAGAAATAAGTTTGTGTTTCGCTATGATTTACTAGAGGAGATAGAGAGTGCAGGCACACCAAACGGGCAGAGACACTTCGTTGCCATTGGTTTTAACTTGCTGCCCTTCTGGATGATTCAGAATTCAGTCAGATACACACACAGTAAATTATTTGGTTTTGTTTCTGCTTTTCCACTTTCTAGAAGGAAGAACTGAGCTACTAGTGAAGCCTAACCAGGGCTGCTAAAAGATGACACAAATAAAACACATATCCCAGCTGCTATCCCTGTGCCTTGAAAACACGCAAGGAACCTTGCTCTTCAGTGCAAGATACCCATCCATGGGTAAGCCCCGAGGGCAAGCAAGATACTACGTACATCAGTGGGTCAGCCCAGAGGGCATGCAAGCATGCAGCTGTTCTTCCCGTCATCTGAACAGCTATGAACCCCCTCGCCCTACTGCCTGTGGGTGCAGCATCACTGTTTTCTTCTGTCCTACAGTGCTGCTGCAGCATTTAGCAACAGGTAAATCATTGTACAGCTTGGTTCAAAACAGAAACCCCTCCAGAGCTTAGGCTGAAATTCCGCCCTTAACTCCACAGCCTCTCACCCATATGCATTTTCAAACGGAGCAGCAGATGAACCCTCGTTCATCTTCCCTCGTGCTCTTCCCTTCCACTGTCACGTGCTCTGTTAAACGCGTTGCTGCCTGAGAAGCCCTGGCTGGCCTGCATTCCTCTCCTGTTGGAAGAAACATCTTGCAACGCATTGTCCTCGCACTGCGACAGCAGGGAGGGA